ACTCTTTATAAACTATTAATTTTGATGGAGTCCAGTGTATATATTTTTTCTTTTATTGATTATCCTTTTGGTTTTATATCTAAAAAAACTGTTGCCAAATCTGAGGTCACAAAGTCTTATACCTATGTTTCGAGTTAGTAGTCTTAGCTCTTACATTGAGGTCTTTGTGTTAATTTTGAGTTAATTTTTGTATATGGTGTGAGGTAGGGGTCCAAATTCATTATCTTTTGCATGTGGCTTTCCAATTACTCCTCCACTATCTGTTAAAAAGACTATTCTTTCCCCATTGCGTGGTCTCGGTGTCCTTGTAGAAAGTCAGTTGGCCATAAGTGTATGGGTTATTTCTGGTCCCTAGCTTCTACTCCTTTGATCTATTTTGTTAATCCTCATGCCAGAACCACACTGTCTCAATGATGCTAGCTTGGTAGTAAGTTTTGAAGTCATGAAGTGTGCATCTTGCAACTTTGCTATTCTTTTTCAAGGTGGTTTTGGGTATCTGGGCTCCCTTTCAATGAGTTTTAGGGTGAGTGTATCCATTTCTGAAAAACAGCAAGTTAGAATTTTGATGGTGTTTGCACTGAATCTGAGGATCATTTTTGGGAGTATTGCCTAAAATATTAAGCCTTCCAATCTATGAACACAAGAAGTCTTCCCATTTATTTAGGCCTTTAATTTCTTTCAACACTGTTTTTCATTTTAATATGTATTTATTTATTTGGTTGTGCCAGGTCTTAGTTGCAGCAAGTGGACTCCTTAGTTGCAGCATGCAAACTCTTAGTTGTGGCATGCATGTTGGATCTAGTTCCCTGACCAGGATTGAACCCAGGCCTCCTGCATTGGGAGCATGGAGTCTTATCCACTGCGCCACCAGGGAAGTCCCTCAACACTGTTTTGAAGTTCGGTTAAATTTATTCTTTGGCTAAATTTATTCTTAAGTATTTCACTCTTTTTGATCCTATCAATGGAATTATTTTCTTGGATTGTCCATGGCTAGTGTATAAGAATACAACATATTTTTGTGTGTTGATCTCATATCCTACCACCTTGCTCCCCTTTTTAGTGACTCAGACGTTTCAGTGGATTCTTAAGGTTTTCTATATATAAGATCATGCCATATGTGAATCAAGGTAGTTTTACTTTTTCTTTTACAATCTGGTTCCCTTTTATCTTTTTCTTGACTAATTGTCCTGGCTATAACTTCTAGGACGATGTTCAGTAGAAATGATACTCTTGCCTTGTTCCTGATCTTAGGGAAAATCATCCAGTCTTCACCACTGAGTATGACGGTAGCCGTGCTTGTCTCATAGACACCCTTAATCAGGTTGAGGAGGTTCCCTTCTGTTCCAGTTTGTTGAGTGTTTTCATCATGAAAGGGTATTGGATTTTATGATCATTTTTTAATCTCTTTTATCTCTTTTGTCCATACTGGATAATTTTTATTGCTCTATCTTCAAGTTCACTCACTTATTCTCCCATCATGTTCGTTCTGCTACTGAGTCCATACAATGAGTTTTTTATTTTGATAATTGTATTTATTTTCAGTTCTAACATTTTCATCTAGTTCTTCTTTATATCTTCTATTCCTTTGCCTAGATTTTTAATCTTTCTTTTCAGTAGTGTTCACCTTTTCTTCTTGGGTTATTTTTGCAATATTTGCCTTAAGTGTGTTTTTTTTTTTTTTTGCTGTACGCGGGCCTCTCACTGTTGCGGCCTCTCCCATTGCAGAGCACAGGCTTCGGACGCACAGGCCCAGCGGCCATGGCTCACGGGCCCAGCCGCCCCGCGGCATGTGGGATCCTCCCAGACCTGGGCACGAACCCGTGTCCCCTGCATCGGCAGGCGGGCTTTCAACCACTGCACCACCAGGGAAGCCCTGCCTTAAATTTTAATCGGACAATTATGACATCTTGGCATTGGTGTCTGTTGGTGGTCTCTTCCCAGGTAAGTGGAAGTTTTCCCGGTTCTTTGTATGCCACGTAATTCTGGATTGTATACTGGACATTCAGAATATTATGTTATGAGACTCTGAGTCTTGTTTAAATCCTATGGAGAATATTGATATTTTTGTTGTAGCAGGCAATGGATCCGGCTGGGTCCAGCTCACAAGGATCCACCAGCTTTCTGTGGGTCGTGGTTTTAACATCAGTTCTGTTTTCAGTCTTTGCAGTGATTTATCCTGTGTGTGCACCACCCAGTGGCCAGTCCAGGACCTGAGAGGCGGTCTACCTTAAATGGGTTCTCAATGTCTTGTTTGGCTGTTTATGATCAGATCTACACGTGTGCAGCCCAGGAGGCAAGCCAGGGGTTCGGGAACAGTGTTATGATGTCAGAGGCCAAGTTCCTTCCTCTTCTTGATGTTCCCTGAGGTCCCCTCCTCTGTCTTTTAGCTGAAAGGCTAGGGCTCTGTTTACCTTGTTTTGCTATACATTTCCTGGGACTACACCTGAGTCTAGGGCCAAGTAGTGGGAGGACAGGGGAAAAAGCAACTGGTTTTGTCCCACCCTCTTGGGATTTCAGCTCCTCTGACTGGCAGAAGAAGGTGTGGGCACCTGTGGGCTCCCACTGCCACAGCTGTTAGTGCTGCCGCTGTGGTCTGAGAGAAGCCTGGGTACAGCCCACCTGCCAGCATGGGTGGAGGCCTGGCACCTGGAACTCCGTCCTCAGATACAGCCCCCACATTCTCCCTTAGCCGTCGTCAGTCAGGTGCCCACCCACAGGGGCGTCTCCCTGCCCTGCTGAAAGCTCTCCCTACATGCAGGCTTCGTCTTGTTCACCTGGCAGCCCGCTGAAGCTCTGAGACAGGCTGAGCCTCAGCTCCACTGCAGGACATCTGTTGGCTGACTCTTGTCAGGGGGAGTAATATTCCCTGCTCCCCCACCCCCTCTACTCCTTCTCTCCCCCCGCTGCTCCTCCCCGACAAGCTCTCCCCTCCTTCTCTCCCCCCTTAGCCCCTGCCTTCCATGTCCACGTGGCGCTCAGTCTCACCTGAGCACACCTCACATGCACAGCCCAGGGCTTCTTTGTGTCCATCACCCCGTAGAGTCTGCAGTCCTTAAGGAAAGAACTCTTAGAAAACCAAGGCTCAGAGAAGCTGAGGAAGTTACCCAAGGTTGCACAGCTCATCACAGCCACAGCTGAGCCTACAAGCTGCATCTGCCAGACTCTGCCTTCCTTGCTCTTTGCACCTCAGGCCTCCAGAGAAGTCACTGTCTTCCCTTTTATGCTCCACACTAGCTTCCTCCCCTCGGTCCAGGCTGCAGCTTCTAGATGACGGTCAGGGTGAAATACA